GAGTATAGAAAAAAATAGGAATATAAGAAAATAAACAATAATAAACAATAATTGTATTGTAAAATTTTTATTTATTTTTATGCAATTTCTCTCGTATAAACAGAAAAATATTACTAATATAAGATACACGTCATCTTCATAAAAAAATTATTTCATAAACATATATAGCTATACATATTTTTAAGGAATTCATCACATAGAATTGTTTAAGCGAAGATATAGACAAATTAATTTATATTATTATTTTAAGTACCTGTTTCATAATCTCTTTAGGTGAAAAACCTTTATTAACTCGTGCAAACAAAAAATAAATACTATATATATTATTATTAGGTTTAAACTATTATTATAAGAAGTAAATATGAATTTTTACATGATACTTCTTATGAAATTCTTATTTAAGCATTTGTACTCAGACATTGTAACTCTTCAGATTGGGATCCAATATCTAGGAGAGAAGATGCATTTCTATTCAGAAAAAGTCATCATCATCATCATCATCATCATCCGTGTATTCCCCCTTTTCTAAAATTTTCGAAGTCTCTTCTTCGTGTTCTTCGATTTCATCCTCTAATAAATGCGATTCTCCTTCCATAAATCTCGCAAATCTGAAAGATTCATATCTATATTGGTAATTACGATGCTTTATTACTACATATTGTGATATTAAATTTAACAAACTGAAACCTTATCGGATCTTTCAATTTTAAAACTGTCTTCCAAGGATTGCATTCTGGACTGGAGCAATAGTTTTGCAATCCTTTTAAAGCTTTCCTAGTTTGTCGTATTCCTTCTTGACGATATTGGTCTTCATTAATTAATTTTCGTTTTTCCGGAAACACGTGTTGCCTCATTTAAAAAAAGAAAAAGAAAAAGCTCTGTATTACCTCATTCATTTTCATATTCAAAGATAAATTGAAAAAAATATAAAAAAACCATCGTGTATCTAATACATAATTGCTTATTGCATATTTAGAAAATTTATAGAACTCAAATCTATCCAATAATAAAGATTAGATATTTGATAAGTTAGTGCGCTCATAAATTTTTTATGTAGGTATTTGTAAGATTTATGATATTAATTCTAAATAAAATTTATTAGTATAAAGATTAGTATAAAGATGAAACGCAATCTAAAAGAGAATATAATGCATTTTATTGCAAAAACTGAAAATACAACTGCTTAATATACAAGATACATTGTAAGTACAATTACTCAAAAATTATTTGAATTAAGCTTAATAAAAGTATATGAATATTTATATGATATATATAAAAACTATATACATAATACATAAAACCAGAAACATAGTATATAAAACTAAGTAAATATAACATACATAATTGTGCTTAAGAATTGTGCATTAGTAGATAAATGCTGTTTATATATTAATTTAAGCATTAGCAACATGTACATAACTTATTATTCAAATAATATTAAATATCCACAAAACTATAAATTATTATAAAATTAATATAAATGCATACACATAACAAAAAAGAAAAACAACAAACAAAGGGAGAAAAATGTGTATATAATGAATTAGAAGTTTATTCAAGTAATTAATTAAAAAAATTTTGACACAATTGCAATTTTGTGCAGTAGATCATAGCTGGCTAAAATAGCGAATATAATTATATATTACACATCCTATCGATGCTTACCAATACCTCTTTGCTTGCCCAAATGCTGCTTTCGGAAAGTTATAGAAAAGTATAACAATAATGCAACATGAAAAGGATGCTTCATGAAAGTGACTACTGTGATAAATCAGTGCCAATCCTACAAGCTATATGAACATAAAACAATTAAAAATAAATTAAAAAAAAATAACGTACACAATAAGATGATACATTACCTGCAAAAACCATTCTATTATTTGTTTTGTTCTCGGATTGGTAACTGGACCAAAACGGTAGCAAATTACGAAACTAATCAGAGATGTAACAAGAACATACCACATCATCCATTCTCTATATTGCATTATAATTAATTGCATGTTTTCCCATAATGTTTTAGCAATATAAAAACTCATCGATGCAGCAAATATTATGTACATAGTTTTTCCCTTAATAAGAAAAATATGTAAATACAATATTTTATTAAAAAATATATTAGAAACAAATATATATATTATATTAAAATAAATACCCGTGGAATCAATTTTCCAGTCACATATATTAAAATTATAACAGATAAACTGACTCCAAGTATTATGCCACAAGCATAATAAAACAATAAATTCCGACTTAATATTTTGGCACACCAAAAAACTATAATACCTGTTACCATCATTGTCAGTTTCCAAACATTGATACCTGATGATGAAGGATAATATATTATCAATTATATATATATATTTTAACATATAAAATGGAATAACCTCAAAGCAATTCAGATGCTTACGTGTTTCTTTCAGTGTCATTATATAGACAGATTCACTGGGAGAATCTATATAAATACCTATACATACATCTTCAAATGGATTAATTTTAAATTGCCTATGTTTTCCTGTATCAAATAGATTAAGACTCCATGATTTATCATTTTCATCATACTTTTGGTGGATTTCTTGAGGTGTTTTGCCATCATATAGAATATAGGAGTCTGAATTAATATTCAGATGCATCTGTAATAATAAAAGCTTGTATCATATATATATATGAAAATC